GTGTTTATGTCGATGTTTACATTACCGACATAAACAATTAAGTTGTTGTGTCATTATGCTAGCTGTTATTTCATTATGTTGCTAGTGTGAACCAAGCCATACTGTTCAGTTCTTTTTGCAACCTCATCCATGGTTACAATATCTACTATCTGGGATTTAACACTATCATGACCACTGTCTCAGAAAAATGTAATAAAAGATAGGTTCCAAGAGTTGAATAGCTTTTAATCCTGGGTTAGCATTAACAGGCTTTGGAACAACCTGGCCCTGGATGGTATATTAGGAATTCAGTTAATAAAATAATTTAATTTACATGTAGATATGGAGATTTCATGTTGGTAATCCGTTCCATTGTATAGTTGTCCACCTTGTTTAACAGTTGTGGCAGCTCAATGGTACAGCCTCGATCTTCCCAGCGACTGCAATACTCTAGAATGTACCGAATGCAAGTAGGAGCCTCAGGGTCTTCAAAACAAGACCCAAAATGACATGGGCTCTTTTGGTTACTCATATCAAAGTTGCAGACCTCTTCCTATGAGATACAATAGGACAAATATGGTTTTATTGTTAGTACAGTATTTACCAACAGGAAGATCGAACTTGGTAAAATTTATTATTTCAACAATTAATTTGTACCCATTTAGTGCCAGACTATTGTGTACACTGTGCCACACCATTTTCATTGAACATGGGTGTCTAGTACAAAAAACTTCAAATGTCATAGGCTTTTTCACTTTTACTACAGACATGTACACATTCTCTAAAAGATCATAAATGTCTCTTAAATGCCATTAATTTTTCTGCGGTTGATGAAGTTTGATTTCCATATGGTTTCACAGCAATGGAAAATTAGCAGTCTCAAAAAACCTCCTACAAATCTCAGTTGCCGATAAAAGTTGTTTCTGGTGTGCCGGGAGTTTGACTGAATCTCACCATATAGGCACATGAGGAGAAAATAATCATGACACGCTGAGTACGGTCAACTCTCACCTCCCAATATATTATGGACAAAATCCAGATCCCCAGCAAAAGCTATAGAGGTTTGACTGGAAATGACTTTCCTCATTACAAACTCTCGCTATTATGGAATTACAGACACTTTCGTGGTACCAAAATGACAATTTTATTGTTTTGACTCTCAATAACCTGGACACCACATACTTCTCATATAATATTAATTATTATTATTAATATGTAAAATATTATTATAGTCTGCTGTTCATCATTTGCCAAAATACACTGCAAAAGACTCCTGGAATGTTTATTTTCACATCAATTCTTTTTTTTGTCTGCACAATGGTCCTTGCTTCTTCATTTGAGCTTACATTTTTCATTGCATGTTAATTAAGGGCACTTTTTATCTCACACCCCACTGTTACGGACTTTCCATATTACAGACACTAAACAACGTCCCCGAGTGTGTCCACTATAATGAGAGTTGACTGTATGTCATATAGGCACTTGAAGAGGTTAATTATAAGTTATTAAAATTAATAAATAATTATTTTTATTCATTGAAAAATTTTCTTTAAAACACAAAGAAATGATGCATAGACACAAAAACAATTTAACCTCATCCAAACTTATTCAGCTCAATAAATGTTTAAGTTGAATAGAATTTTATATTCTCAGCATTCTAACTAACATTCTGACATGTTTGATAGCAAGATTGGTAGAGGAGGATTGAAGGTTTTACAGTGATCTGCCTCCCTCCCCCAGGAGGGGAGGACTCCCACATCAAAAGGAAGCGGGTAGCCGTCATACCTTTTAGGGGTTAAAAAGAAGCGGATTTGGTAGCTCTTAGGCTGTTCAGCCTCATGAGGTCCACAGTGGGAGCTTTGGCAGTACCTTTTAGGGTATTGAGCCAAAAATTTTGGTGAGAGATATTTGTCATATCTGATAAATAACTTTACAAGCAGAAAGTATTTAAAGTAATCATCTTAAACAAAATATTATAAAATTATGAACTTGTCAGTTAATATGTTGTTTTGGAATTGGTACCTCTTAGGGGTAAGAAAACATTTCAAGCCACGCCCACGAAATAGGATCTTGGTACCTCTTAAGTGTTGTTTTGAAAATTTCCAATGAAATTTTTATATCAGAGTCCCCCTCCCCCCCACCCCCAGGATCTGCCATGCTTTTCATGCAGTTTTGCTTTATATAGTGGCCAAGGTGTCAGACCCAGTTCACAGCTCTTGAGCTTCTTGCTTTTTGAAAAACAATGGAGAATGAAATAGCTTTTGTTTGGAGATAAACATGCTTTACACTTAAGTAGAGGAGGCCTGGGGAGGTGTCTGTCATATCAATTTTTATTCTCTAACATTACGGGGAATAGTGTTAGAATAGTTTTGCTGAGCTACAAGCAGTAAGGCCAATATTCTTCTCTCTAACCAAGAGAAAAAGAGAAGAAGAAAGGTCAGAGTCTCCCTCCAGCTGTTTTTCCCCAATAGGCGATTTGCATGATGGCGTCATTTGACCACAACTACCAGAATCCTT